GCTTTATGTTGTGATGTAACACCACTTACCCAGGTTAGGGGAGATTGAGCGCTTACAAACATGTTTTAACCCGTCATATTCTTTATGTACTTGTCCCAAGTCAGGGTTTTTTATTTCAGTTGTTGTCGTTTGTTCATGTCTGTCATATTTGTTTTATTGTAAACTGTTTTGTTATAAAATAGGCCGTTAGTTTTCTCAATTGAATTCTGTCACATTTTTGCATGTCGGGGCCTTTTATAGCCGACTACATGGTATGTTTTTCCCCTCATTGTTGTAGGCCGTACAGTTGCCTATGATTGCTTACATCCACTTCGTTTGAACTTTGAAGGATAGTTGTCTCATTAGCAATCATACCGCATCTCCTTATTTTTATATAACTTCCCTTCCCAGTTCAATATATTGCTTGTGTAAATGTTTCATTCCAATCATGCAAAAAAAAAATCAAGTTAGAATAATCCTACAACCATTTAAAAAAAAAGAATAAGGATAAGCGAATAAGGAACGAATAAGTAACAGGGCATCAGTCAAGCGCGGAAACGGGTACATATGCGCTAATAGGACAATTTCACCGCTACGAACTAAGAACTAACACCAGAGAGAAGAACAGAAAAGAAAGCATTAAACAGGTGCAGCGTATAAAAGGCGAATAAGGAACAAATAACTAGCGAATAAGTAACAAGGTATCAGTCGAGCGTTGAAACTGGTACATATGCGCTTACGGGCTTAGTCTAACTCTGCAAAAACAGAACTAACACCAAAGACATGAAAAGAACTAAAAGGGATGTACAAGTACCCGGTTACGTCCACTCCGTGTTTTTGTTAGATGTATTTCTATTTGTATCCACCTGATGAGTTAAGCCTTTTTCAACTGATTTTTATAGTTCGTTCTTATGTTGTACTGCTACACCACTGTCCCAGGTTAGGGCGGGGGTTAGGGGGGTCCCGCTAACATGTTTAACCCCACCACATTCTGTATGTATGTGCCTGTCCAAAGCCAGGATCCTGTAATTCAGTGGTTGTCGTTTGTTGCTGTGTTACATATTTGTTTTTCGTTCATTTTTTGTACATAAATTAGGCCGTTAGTTTTCTCGTTTAAATTGTTTTACATTTGTCATTTCGGGGCCTTTTATAGCTGACTATGCGGTATGGGCTTTGCTCATTGTTGAAGGCCGTACGGTGACCTATAGTTAATTTCTGTGTCATTTGGTCTCTTGTGAAGATTTGTCTCATTGGCAATCATACCACATCTTCTTTTTTATATCAACACCAAAGACATGAAAAGAAATAAGACGAAATCATTAAAAGGGGGCAATGTATAATAAGCGAATAAGGAACGAATAAGTAACATGGTATCAGTCGAGCGCAAAAACAGATACATACGCGCTAATAGGTCAATTTCACCTCTACGAACCAAGAACAAAAACCAAGAAAAGAAAAGGAAAGAAAGCATTAACAAGGTGCAACGTATAAAAATCGAATAAGGAACAAATAAGTAGCGAATAAGTAACAGGGTATCAGTCGAGCGCAAAGACGGAGACATCCGCTTTAACAGGAAATAACAATTCACCGAACCCATAGCTAACACCAAAGACAAGAAAAGAAAGCATCAAAAAGGGGTAGCGTATCAAAACGAATAAGGAACGAATAAGTAGCGAACAAGTAATGGGGTATCATTCGAGCGCTGAAACGGGTACATACGCGCTAACAGGGTATTTTTACCTCCTCAAACCAGAGTTAAGGAAAGAAAAGAAAGCATTAAAGGGGGCAACATATGAAAAGATTATAAGGAAAAACAAGTACCGAATAAGGAAAATGATTCAGTAACGAATAGGTAAGAAATACGGAATAAGGAATAAAGAATAAGTAACGAATAATAAATAAGTAATAAGTAAACAAATTAGCGAACCTCAGGGTCGCAGCAGCGCAGCAGTCAATTCCATTATTCAAAATAGTTTTTCCATAATTCAAGATTGGTTATTTCTTAATGTTCACGCTTATTTTGGTATTTAGGTCCTCCGTAACCCCTCTAATGGGCGTTGCGGCACATATTGATTATAACCATTTTGTTCCTCTGTCCATAAGCTTTCGAATGGTGTATAAGGTTTCTCTGTAATTAGGGGCTGAAAGGTCTTAGCAGTCCATTCCATTATTCAAAATAAGCTATTTCTTAATGTTCACGCGTATTTCGATATTTAGGTCCTTCGTTACTCCTCTAATATGCGTTGCGGAACATATTGACTATATACCTTTTGTTCCTCTCTTAATAAGCTTTCGAATGAGGTATAAGGTATATCTATAATTAGGGGCTAAAAGGTCGCAGCAGTCCATTCCATTATTCAAAATATCCATTTCATTATTCAAAATTGGCTATTTCTTAATTTTCACGCGTATTTTGGCATTTAGGTCCTCCGTAACCCCTCCTAATGGTCATTGCGGCACATATCGTTTATACTCAGTTTATTCCTCTATCAATAAGCTTTAATTTGGTGTAGAAATTTTTCCTTGATTAGGGGCTGACGGGTTGCAGCAGTCCATTCCATTATTCAAAATAAGCTATTTCTTAATGTTCACGCGTATTTCGATATTTAGGTCCTTCGTTACTCCTCTAATATGCGTTGCGGAACATATTGACTATATACCTTTTGTTCCTCTCTTAATAAGCTTTCGAATGAGGTATAAGGCATATCTATAATTAGGGGCTAAAAGGTCGCAGCAGTCCATTCCATTATTCAAAATATCAATTTCATTATTCAAAATTGGCTATTTCTTAATTTTCACGCGTATTTTGGCATTTAGGTTCTCCGTAACCCCTCTAATGGTCATTGCGGCACATATCGTTTATACTCAGTTTATTCCTCTATCAATAAGCTTTAATTTGGTGTAGAAATTTTTCCTTGATTAGGGGCTGACGGGTTGCAGCAGTCCATTCCATTATTCAAAATAAGCTATTTCTTAATGTTCACGCGTATTTCGATATTTAGGTCCTTCGTTACTCCTCTAATATGCGTTGCGGAACATATTGACTATATACCTTTTGTTCCTCTCTTAATAAGCTTTCGAATGAGGTATAAGGTATATCTATAATTAGGGGCTAAAAGGTCGCAGCAGTCCATTCCATTATTCAAAATATCCATTTCATTATTCAAAATTGGCTATTTCTTAATTTTCACGCGTATTTTGGCATTTAGGTCCTCCGTAACCCCTCTAATGGTCATTGCGGCACATATCTTTTATACTCAGTTTATTCCTTTATCAATAAGCTTTAATTTGGTGTATAAATTTTTCCTTGATTAAGGGCTGACGGGTTGCAGCAGTCCATTCCATTATTCAAAATAAGCTATTTCTTAATGTTCACGCGTATTTCGATATTTAGGTCCTTCGTTACTCCTCTAATATAAGTTGCGGAACATTTTGACTATATACCTTTTGTTCCTCTCTTAATAAGCTTTCGAATGAGGTATAAGATATATCTATAATTAGGGGCTAAAGGGTCGCAGCAGTCCATTCCATTCCATTATTCGAAATATCCATTTCATTATTCAAAATTGGCTATTTCTTAATTTTCACGCGTATTTTGGCATTTAGGTCCTCCGTAACCCCTCTAATGGTCATTGCGGCACATATCGTTTATACTCAGTTTATTCCTCTATCAATAAGCTTTAATTTAGTGTATAAATTTTTCCTTGATTAGGGGCTGACGGGTTGCAGCAGTCCATTCCATTATTCAAAATAAGCTATTTCTTAATGTTCACGCGTATTTCGATATTTAGGTCCTTCGTTACTCCTCTAATATGCGTTGCGGAACATATTGACTATATACCTTTTGTTCCTCTCTGTATAAGCTTTCGAATGAGGTATAAGGTATATCTATTATTAGGGGCTAAAGGGTAGCAGCAGTCCATTCCATTATTCAAAATATTCATTTCATTATTCAAAATTGGTTATTTCTTAATTTTCACGCGTATTTTGGCATTTAGGTCCTCCGTAACCCCTCTAATGGTCATTGCGGCACATATCGTTTATACTCAGTTTATTCCTCTATCAATAAGCTTTAATTTGGTGTTGAAATTTTTCCTTGATTAGGGGCTGACGGGTTGCAGCAGTCCATTCCATTATTCAAAATAAGCTATTTCTTAATGTTCACGCGTATTTCGATATTTAGGTCCTTCGTTACTCCTCTAATATGCGTTGCGGAACATATTGACTATATACCTTTTGTTCCTCTCTTAATAAGCTTTCGAATGAGGTATAAGGTATATCTATAATTAGGGGCTAAAGGGTCGCAGCAGTCCATTCCATTATTCAAAATATTCATTTCATTATTCAAAATTGACTATTTCTTAATTTTCACGCGTATTTTGGCATTTAGGTCCTCCGTAACCCCTCTAATGGTCATTGCTGTACAATCGACTTGTTATATATATAATTAGAGGATGAAGAATAGCGAAGGTCCAGTGAAAATAAAAAAAGACCACGTAGAGTATTTTAATTTATAAATATATGTTTTGGTATTCAGGTCGTCCATACATTGAACCAAGGAATTTCTGTTAGTTCTAGTTAGGAAAACCCACTAGTTTATCCTCCGAAACTAGGAACCAGATAAATAAATCAAATTAGAATTTAAAGAGTGTTTTTATTTTATTTTTCTGATATCAATTTCAATATTTGTTAGATAACAACAAAAAGACTAATTTAGAAATACGGGATATAGCTAAAGTGTCACAGTCAATTTTTTTATTTTTATTTCACTATTCACCGCTTTAATTGAATAATGAAACATAAACTATTTCATTATTCATTATTCATCACTTAATATTGAATAGTGAAAAGTGAACTATTTCATTATTCATTATTGAATTTTGAATAATGAAAAATGAATAATGGACGTACTTCAGCGTGTTGAAAACAACCGGCCTGATTTATGTACAAATAATGAATGAAAAACAAATATGATATAAGTCTTTATGAATATAAATTCGATGGAAGTTTTACACCTGCAAATAAATACATTTAATACGATTCCGTAATTTTGATTGGCCGAGGCATTCAAAAAGTTTTATCTTATTTCCTTATAAATACAACATCTATGACTGCATGTGCTCTCCATGACAACGTGAAAACAATGCAAAGAAAAAACGAAATGCTTTATAATATTTGACGTTATTTTATTGTTGAAGCATTCAAATTTAGTTATAGGAATTGAAGGCTATTTTTTGTAATTTTATAGATTATAGCTGTCGGATCATAGGTTCTGACCTTTTTGTTCTTTCTTGTGGTGTTTTTTTGTTGTTGTATTGATATCTTTCTGTAATGAAGTCAAGGGTCATTATTGCATATTATTTCATATCTATTTACAGAGCTTTTTTGAACATTTGTATGGTGCAAGTATGTTGTATTTTCACCTTACATCTTATTGGCGTCGTTTCTTTTTACATATATCCCACTTTCATATCTCTACGAAGATGTTCAGGGACCCATTTAGTAGAATACTAGGAATATGAGAATATGATTCTGTATTCAAGCCAGTTTCTTAATATGACAATTTTGTAACCTCGCAAATAAAAAATGACATTAATTACGATCCACAAATCAGTCTCCTGTGTTTTCTAATGCTTATCGGATAAGTTCGTAAACCATGCACTTACTTTATTAATAAAGACCGCCTGTAACCGTTTAATTATATTTTGAGTGTTTTGTATAGTTGGGATGTTGTTTCATTGGCATATACTCAACATTTTCTTTTAAACATGCATGGTGTACACTAGATTCTCCGTCGAATAATATCATATGTAAATCTATAATGATTTCTGTTTTTTACATATAAATTAATCCAATGGACATAAACAATAGTTACAGTTTCTGTTCTGGTCATTAAAGAATCTTACAAGTTTAAGAGAAATTATGTCAACACTGACAGATAAAATTATGAATATCAATAAAGCCGTCAATAGTAGCTAGAGGTAGAATCCATTAATTCACTGTTGGTGATTAAATTATGGTAGATATAGCTGGAGATGCTGATTGGGTTCCTTTGGGTAGTAATTTACGATTTCTGAAAAATCTCAGAAATCCTAGGGCTAACTGCGCTACCCATAACAAAAATACTATCCAACATGCAATCTACAAAGTGACAAAATATAAATCAAATATCATTGAATTCTAAAATCTATAAAGGACAATATTGAACAAATGTGTGTTTTATGTGCAATGAAATCGTGTCACCATCCACATTTCAGTTAATTACTCAGCTGGTGTTTGTTAAATATGTCGCTGTTTTGAACTATTTCCGCCAAAAGATTTTATTTTTAGCAAGTTTTGAAAATAAGTTAGTAAAATGAATGTAATATACTTTTTGCGTCCGTATTTTTTCCGTCTTATTTTGATTGCTTTTGAATGATTTCAGTTCTTTAAATTTTGTCAATCATTAACCGTGAGTATCAACAAAATACACTCTGGATTTTGAATGTACTATTTAGTAGATAATTCGAAGCGAGAAGTAGACTGAATGATGACCTTCAGTAAAGTAAGATCATGCTAAAAAGGCAATGATAACCACAAGTTAACAGACAGAAAATAACGTGGGCAATAGAAAACGAAGACGAAAAGACCGTGAGACAACAGCCAACGAGATATTTTGGAATTGCACAGCCTATCAATTACTCCGTTGAAGGTGTGCACTTATTGGCACTTTATTCTGGGAAGGATTGTTAATTTATTAGCTAAAAGGCTTTCAAGTAGTTCTCATTAGTCCATTGGCTGTTGTTTGTTGCTGTCTGGCAAAATTGTTTTTCGTTTAATGTTATTTGCTTAAATTATATCATTGAATCGTTTCAAATTATAATATCTCGTGACTTTTCATAGCTTATAATTAATCATTCATGGAAACAGTATATCAACCAGTGTTTACAATATATCAACCAGTGTTTACAATATACTGATTTTGTGGATGTTTTTGTCTCATTGAAAATCATACAAAAAAAGGTTAAACGAACGCAGCGGGGTGGACTTACAACAAAATTGCCATGTAACTTCCGGTTTAAGTCGATGTAGGAATTTTGGGATGTATAACTTACTTGAGAAATATTCATCATGCGATAGTAATGTCCAGGATGAAAATGTTTGCCAGTATCTTCATTATGCCATTCACTCCCTTCTGCATCTGAACAGCTTAAAAGTTCCAACATTTCAACGTTATTTATTGTATATATTTATAAACACTAATGAAATAAAAGTAATTTCTATACATAGCTAGCAAAACAAAACAAAATGACATGTTCCCCATTAACATGTACAATACTAGATTATTCAATAGCCAAATACTAGTAAATAAGAACTACTGTTCCTTTGCTTTTTGTGTTCTTTGTTGTGTATGTATTCATTTTGAGTCATGGATGGATGCACTATATCCTGTCTTATCTATAAGGAAAAAAAGTGTGGTACAATTTCAATATGCCTTCTTATTCCCGTGTTTCAAAAAATTGCAAAATTTATTTAAAAAAAAAAACTATTTTGGACTATACAGACGATATTATTTCAGGGAATACTTAAAAACGTAGTGAAAAGATCCATCAGTTTATTTCAATGAAAGTATGGATGATCTTTATGTTATATCCTTGTCTAAACGGATTTGGTAGAATAAGAGTCAGATTAATGTGTCCTAGAACTAGCATGTTAAAAATGACAACGGTTTTCAATCAGCACGACCATTCATCCTTTGTATGTTTGTGTGTTGGGGGAGAGGGGCATTTTTTTAAAAATAGAATTGCTTGATTCTAAATTTCTTCAGAAAAAAATGTTTCACAAAAGAAGTGGAAAAATACTAAGATTAAAAATAAGATGTGGTATAACTGCCAATGAGACACCTATCAGCCAGAGTTCAAATTACGTGGATATAAGCAATTATAGGTCATCGTACGGCCTTCGACAGTGAGAAAAACCCATACTGTACAGTCTGCTATAAAAGGCCCCAACCTGAAAAATATGAAACAATTCAAATGAAAAAAAACTTACCACCTAATTTATAACAATACAATTTATGAAAAACAAACATGACAAACATGAACCATCGACAACCACTAAAAAGTAAAATAATAAAAATACCGAACTCAAAGGAAAATTCAAGACAGAAAATCCCTTATTAAATGGCAAAGTCAAAAGCTCAAACACATCAAGCAAATTGAAAACAGCTGTCACATTCTTGACTTGGTACAGACATTTCCTAATATACCAAATGGTTCTGGTTTTATAGCTAGCTAAACCTCTCACTTGTATAATAGTTGCATATAATTCAATTATATTGAAAACAATGTGTGAGCAAAACAAACAGACATAAAAGATAAAAATGTCAAAAATTGGGCTACAGCAGTCAATATTGTGTTATAATCTTATTCACTATAAAAACAAACAACTATGTCAACAAAGAAAATCAAAAATGAAAATTACAGACTCCTGACTTGGGACAGGCTAAAAAAGAATGTTGCGCTTATATAAAGAATAAAGAAATAATAAAGAAATCTACAGATACAGCCAAACATCCTAACCAATTTTTTGTATCTTTGGAAGAATTTAGTAAAACTTTGTTGATTATTAATTTGTGGTAACGAAATCGCTGACTAAATAATTTATCAGTTATAAATAAATTGCGTTAATTGAAATATAAAGCGCGACTATACACGGGCATTGCGAAAAAGTTGAAAAATATACCGTAAGAAGGAGCCAAAAGAATATCATCGTCCAAAAAAGGAAATTAACTATAGGAAACGAAAAATCGTCTCTTTCGTCGTAAATTTCCCGTGTGAACCTAACTTATCCAAATCTTAAAGAAAAGGCAATCATCGCTGTCTGTATTATATTCATTTAAAGTTAATTCCTTTTGGGTAAAATAAGAAAATTATAGACTATTTAAGAATGTTCGCTGATCTTGTTTTTGACTTTTTGTCAGATATTTGGAATCCTCTGGGTTATTCCATGTAGTGTCATTAAAAAGTTTGCCTGCTTACCCCAACTTTTCATAATTTCATGGCATAAAGTTAAAAATTCTTTTTTGAAAATCTTATAAAATTCTTGTTATTTTTACATTGTTTTTTAAAGAAAAAAAAAACCGTGCCAATGTTAAATGTATGAAAAATCTAGAGAAAATAAATTTCCGTCAAATTTTCAACGGCTTACATCTAAAAAAAAAGAACACGGACCTTTTATTTTTTCTGCTTTTTTAGTTTGCTCATCATGGCAATGCATTACAGTCTTTTGAAAAGCTTGATATTTGAAACAGATCGATCAGTCAACATCCTAGGTAAAGGCAGAAACATCACCACAGTAACCTCACCTCACCTCATCTATCAGTTTCATGCCTGTCGGCATTTAAGGCCCAGATACATTCTTTCCATTTTACACGCTCTGTAGATGTTATCCTTGCTGTAGCCAAGCTGTTCCACGCAAGTGTCGTTCTTTCTCTCTCCATGTGGTTTTGGGACGTCCAACCTTCCTTTTCCCTCTGGTTTCCATGTTAGTGCTACTGCACTTATGCTGTTGTTATCCATTCTTAGTACGTGGCAAATCCATCTCCAACGCTGTTCCATAATTTCCTTGTTCCAGCTTTGATGTGAAGGTTTTCATTTTATATGGTGTAGGGCCTTCTTATTCTCAGAATTTGTTTTAGACATCTACTTTGAAAGGTGTTTGATTTCCGTTTGTCTTGTTCTGTTGTTTTCCAGGTTTAACATCCATACAGTAGTACCGATATAACCAAACTGTTAAATAACTTAACATCTGTTAAATGAAAGCGCTGATGATCTCCATATTTTTCTTAACCTGCTAAATTGGCCTTTGGCTTTCTTGGGCCCGTCTTCTATATCATTGTCACTCCCACCCATTGTTGTTTAACTATTCCTCCTAGGTAAGTGAAGATTTCAATATCCTCTAGGTCTGTTCATTTAACTTCACCGGATTGTTATGAGTGGACGTATTTATCTTCAATCCTATCTTGCTGTCAGTTTCTTGAAGTTTGCTTGTGTTCAGCTGTATATATTTAAATTTGGAAAGATAGTAGTGCAAGGTCATCTGCAATATCAAGGTCTTCTTATTTGGTGGTAAATTTCCATCTTATTCCTGTTGTTTCATTTTCTTTTGTTGTTTGTTTCACGACATGGTCAATGGCTGACAGAAATAAAAAGTCGGACATTACACAACCTTGCTTTTCTCCTGTGTTTACTTTCAACCATGCATTCAGACTGTACTCCTTCGTCTATGACTGCACATTCAAATGTATCGTAAAAGAGTTTTATAACTGTGATGAGTTTGTCTGTAATGTGAAATTCTTTCAAGATGGACCATAAGCCTTCCCCGTGGATGGAATCAAATGCCTTTTCAAAGTATAGAAATTTGATGTGTAGAGCAGCATTCCATTTAGAAAATTGATAAACATTGTTCAATGATGTTTCGTAAAGTGAAGAGTTGCTCATTCGTACCATTTTCTCCTTCTGAAACCAGCTTGTTCTTGTCTAAGCTCTTCCTCTACTCCTTCCTGAATTCTTTGGATGATGATTTTATATAATACCTTCAGGTCTTTTTCATAGATAAAAAAAAACAAAAAAAAAAAAAACACATGGCCCTTCAGTAGATGAACGGTCGGTGCTAACATCATTTACCTGTATGTTACTTATTTTGAATGAAACGCTTCTTTATTATAAGCTTTTTCACTTGTTCACTTCAACCAAATGTGTGTTAAATAAATAAATAAAAAAGCTAAATTTAGCCATGTAGGGTCACTGCATGAATATATATTCACAAAAAAAAATCCTAAATTCGTTATTTTAGACAAAAAGATAGCTTTTATCATTTACAACAGATAGATGGATGGATGAATGGTTGTTAAATGTCAAGTGGCAAATGCATATTCACGGGACGAGAATATGTTAGTGCGATATGAATATGAATCCTGCTTTGTACTAGACCGACACGCTGAGACGGAGTTTTAACTAGCTAGTTCACAAGGTAACAGTCCACAGAAAGACATGTCACCTTACCCGGACACATTATATCGACTCAGAGCAGACCAGTTTTTGCTCTTACTCCTTAATGCCGCGTGCTTAGCGGAGAAGCAGCAAATACCAATTTTACAGTCTTTGGTTTACCCCGGCCAGGGTTCGAACCCACGACCTCCCGTACTCGAGGCGAACACGCTATACCACGAGATCACCGAGGCGATTTCTTTACAGTGCAATACTATAATGAAAATCAAAGCATTTAAAGCATTAAAGTAATAAACAATAACAATATACCACTATTCTTACTGTGTATAATATTCATGATTTTTCAACAGTCCATTACAAAACTTTTTGAATCCAACAGATATCATACATGCAGCTATAAATGACATCAATGCCATAACGGTATTTGTTATCACATACGGCAAAACCCACATCTGTGCTCTGAAAAAAAGGGAAATTGATCAGTTACTAAAACAGCAGTTAATAAACTGACAAAAGAGTTCATCTGGTTACAGATAATACAGGATACAATCAAACTGATAAACTGACAAAAGTGTTCATCTGGTTACAGATAATACAGGCTACAGTCAACCATATTTTAAAAAGTGAGGAGTCTGTGAATTTTTAAACCAAACAATTAAGTTAAATAAGAATGTCAAGCCATAGAGAAGATGGGGAATAAATCACAATATTAACCTTTTACTTGACTTCTTATAGAAGCAAATATCTATATATTGTGCATTTTTTAATGTCCTTTGTTCTTCACTCGAGAAAAAAATGGGAGGTTGAATACTAACATAAGATACTTTAACCCTGCCACGTATTGTGTGTATATTAAGTGGTTTTATTTCTTCATGGTCTCTCAATTAAAATTTGGTGTTCAAATGTGTCAGATATATATGGTCGTCTGTTGTCTTTCAATGGCATATTTGCAAATACTTTGTTTTTATTTGTGTCAACTCAGTTGAACGCGAAATACAAGAACAAGAGATATAGGTTATAGATATTCGGTCAAAGATTCCTATACTCATACTTAGTTAAACTTTACCTTGTTGTTTGGCTTCTTCTCAATTGAACTAATGCGTACACATAATAACTACCAATTGCCAAACCGTACAGTATACAGCCTACCACACTCATGTACAAAGGGAAATTACAGTTGTTTGAACTAGATACCTTCTGCAGAATGCCATCCTCAAAATGTGCATACAGCAGACATGAATTGTCAAACTGAATCTGAAAAGGGGAACTTAAGGTCATTTAGATTTAAAGTAAAATCACTTGATAAATTTCCGATATAGATATTTGAGTATTTTACAGTTTATGTTTGTTTTGTTTGTGCTTATGTTTTTGTTATATCGTAAACCGTTATTTAAAAAAATAAGTTCTTTTCCGGTGCTTATTTTTATTATATGTCAGTTTTATGCACCTTTTGTTTGTCCACTGGTCGAAATAAAAAAGTTTCTAAAACTAGTTTTAATTCAAGCAATAGTAGTTAACCGACGTTCCAGTATTCTTACAGCTGTTATCCTAATGCTAGCAAGTTAAAGGTTTGGTTGGCTTTGCTTTCTTTGTTTGTATTAATGTTTGCTCAAGCTCAGGGTAAGTGTCTCCTGCTATACATGCATTACCAGCTATTTTGCAAATCCACAAGGTCAAAATGTCAAAGTCGGTCCGGTCGGTCAATGTTTGTGTGCCTTTCCCAAGTAAGGAACGGTTAAAGGTCTGTGGATAACAAAAGAGAAAACCAACGGCCTGCTTTAAGCTGATAATACTTAACGAAAAATAAGTATGGATATCATTAACCAAACTACAACCAGGCACCTGACCTAGGACAGACACATAAATAATGTGGCTGCATTAATAATGACTGTGAGTGCTTAAATCTGGTGCTTAACCTTGGACCATGGTGTTACAGGAGAACATTTGAACAAACTGCAAAAAATCAGTTGAAAAGGGCTTAACACATCAGATCGGTACTAAGCACAAAAAACAACTATCAAAATGACAGGAAACAGAAAGAAATCTATGAGTAAGATATCTAAGAGTGTTTGCAGTTACTGAAAGCTGTAGTTCAAAACCTAATTTCAACTGATAAAGGGACCATGTTTCCCTAAACTAAAATACCAATCATTACACCCCATACAGACTTTGGTGTTTTAAAAGACAATATACGCAGTCTGTAAAAGGCATACTTTGCAATGTCAAATCACATGTCTTAACAGGATGCAGAATCATAAGTATTTTAAAATAACTTGATACCAATAAAGTTTTGTTGGGAACTTAACTTGAATATAAAACCGTTCTGGAGTTCAAGTGCCCACAATAATCGGGAGCGGGGTCATTATTGCTCTAAGAATGTTAATATTCCTCGGATAATCAACGGCTTATGTAATAAAGCGTCCACTGTGGAATGACGTACTAGCTGTTTTAATTTTCCAAACAGTCTAAATGTATTGTGTTACTCCATATCAAAAATAAGGAGATGTGGTATGATTGCCTAGAGTTCACATGACGTGGATATGAGCAATTATATGTCACCCACTGTACGGCATTCAACAATGAGAAAACCGATACCGAATAGTCCGCTATAAAAGGCCCCGACACAAAAATGTGAAATAATTCATACGAGAAAAATAGCGGCCTCATTTATAACAGTACAATATACGAAAAAATAAATATGACAGACAGCAACCATACTTGTTTCTTATCCATAGACCTACCTGCGATACTCCTAATGGTATACTTATAATGAAACCACAGACAAATATCAGAAAATACAGTATAGTTTGTGCAAGCAAATGTGCATCAATTGGTTCCATCGAGAAGCTTTTATCATCTATATCCTTGTATAAACGTTGTATAATCGAGATATTGTAACATCTATATATTATGTTTATACTTGTCAAGTGATCCACTGTATCTTATTCTTGTTATAATCTTTTATCATTGGGGTTAAATATCAACGTTTGATTAAAAAAAAAAACAATGTATTGTAAACAGGGGGGAAAAGTGGGGTTAAATTGGATATTTCAAAATCAATTCGTGGCACGTCTAGGGAAGCAGTGTTATGATTAAAAATAAAAAAGTAAAATTTGAATATAATAATAAATTATAAATCATTATCAATCCCATTATAACTGTGGTTCTTTGAATTATAACCTTTGTACTTTATTTAGTTTTGAATAAAAGGAGACGTGTGGTATGAGTTATTGAGACAGAAACCAATCGACAAAAACTACATATTGTATAGACACCCGTCTGTTGTTGAAGATTGTATGTTGATCTATAGTTGCTTACATCTACGACCGTCATTTGTTCTCATGTGAATAGTTATATCATTGGCAATCATACCACATCTTATTATTGTTATAATCAAGATGTCCTTTGTTTTTTGTGTGTCGTTGGACTGCTGTCACATTGTCTAATATTACTCTAACATCCAACACCGCATCAAATCGCAGTCACTGAAAGCAAGCCCAGATCAATTAATATGCTGACGGATCTGAGATCTGACTATGATTGTACTCTTTGTGAAAGAATAAAATTCTTCGAAGGAAAACATCTCCATGTTAATATTATGATTTAACGAGACTTTTGTGTGCGTGTGTGAGCGTCTTATAAATGATGCCTATTAATTCCTTATTATGCATGCAAAAGGTATGGTTTATTTCCACTTTATTTGATCAATCCGTGACAGGATCAGAATCGTTGATTAGATGATACCTGCTGATATATGAAAAAGTCTAAATTATATCACTGTGTCTAAACTACCCCGGCAAAAAATATTTGGACTCAATAGTATCTAATATCAACTACGGTGACGGACCTTCAACAGACAGAGAAAATGTATGATTTCTGTTCATTTATTTGTTATTTTGATGATATTGAAGAATATAAATACACATATAACTATTTTCGATCGTGAGATGTAATAGTTTCTTCGACCGTTCTAGATAAACGGAGAAATAAGTAAAAACGCACGTCAAAATGATGAATTGAGGGAACCTTGACTCGATTTTTTTTCGGCCAGTTTCTTGTTAAATTGCGCACATTGTACGGAAAGAAAGGTGAGGAAAGAAAGATATAAACATGGAGATTGCAAGACTAGTCATTTTGAGCATCTCAATGTTTGTATTTATGTGCATGGAACGAAAGAAATGGGTCATGTCAAAATTGAAGGACCCGGTTTCGTCCTAAAATTTCACAGAGCAGGACCCAGCTTTTTCGTTGAAAATAATGCATAATCGTATAACGTAAATTAAAATCCGTCATTCAACAGGAGTTTGATGGCCCTATGGAAAACGGTTTCTTAAAGAGGACAACTTATCATTTATTTGAATACAGCAGTCAGCAGTGTATATGTCACTTATATAAAAAAAATAACTTTCAACCAGAGACCAAAGGACGTACAAAGTTAGCAACTATAAGTCACCAGAACCGTATAGCAAATGAAGTATTAAAATTTTCAATAAATAAGGTTGGCTTCAATTACATGATCTAATTCATCAAACAAAACCGATATCTTATCAGTATAAAATTAGAGCACAACTGTTACAATTTATTGCCGACTTGTTTCTTTAATATTATGAGACTGACTTCATACAGGAACTTCTTAGGAAGAAAGATAAGAAGTTAGCAATGTCTTTTAACTTTACGTTCCGCTATATAGATGATGTTCTCTCACTAAATAATATTAAAATTTGGTGACTATGTTGAACGAATCTATCCCATCGAACTAGAGATAAGGGATACTACAGATACAGTTAAGTCTGCCTCATATCTTGAATTACATCTAGAAATTGACAATGAGGGTCGGTCGAAAACAAAACTTTACGACAAGAGAGATGATTTCAGCTTCCCAATTGTGAACTTTCCATTTCTATGTAGCAGCATTCCAGCAGCGCCTGCATACGGAGTATATATCTCCCAATTGATACGGTATTCCCGGGCTTGTATTTCCTATCATGATTTCCTTGATAGAGGATTGCTGCGCACAAGGAAGCTATTAAACCAAGAGTTCCAAATGGTGAAGTTGAAATCATCCCTTCGTAAATTTTACGAGTTGGTTGACCGTTATGGAATAACCGTTTCACAGATGATATCGGATATGTTCCTTATGTCGTAACTACAATACCCTTCCCTTTTCACGAATGTGACCTACCAATTAGACTATTTACCGGATTTGTAATAACATAAGCAACACGACGGGTGCCACATATGGAGCAGGATCTGCTTACCCTTCCGGAGCACCTGAGATCACCCCCAATTTTTGGTGGGGTTCGTGTTGCTTAGTCTTTAGTTTTCTATGTTGTGTCATCTGTAGTATTATTTGTCTGTTTGTCTTTTTATTTTTGGCCATGGCGTTGTCAGTTTGTTTTCGATCTATGAGTTTGACTGTCCCTCTGGTATCTTTCGTCCCTCTTTTTTAACTCCGATAAATTAATATATTGGCCAAAAACATGTGACTGCCGCGAATGCATGCTCCTAAAACTGATTATAAGTTTACAATAGTCTAAGATGTTATAGAAAGGGGAAGTTTTTTATCTGCATTAGACAATAGGAAAACTATAATACAGGCACTGACATTATATGGCTTCTGCTGTTGATCAACCGACTCTAACAACTTTTTTTATTCGATTATTTCATTATTTCTACCTACAAGAAGTTACGTAAGTTAACTTCAATGATAATGATGATGATGTCACGGAACCCGAGCTGCATCGCTGGACATAACAATATATTGTACTTATTCTGTATCTTATTTACATCTATATTACATCTATAAAATATATGTCACATTATTGATTTGTTCTGTTTTGCAACCGTGAAATGTATGGTTAAAACAGTGCTGTAACTGAGTGCTTATTTCTTTATCATAAGTTCGACAACGATACTAAAAGATACTCTTTAAGATTAAAAACTTAATTATAAATTGTTTTGCTCACATATTGTTGTCGGTATAATGGAATTGTATGCGACTGTCATCTTCTTTTTCCGAATACGGGAGTAGACTCCTATGTCTGAGGAGTGTAAAACTTCCCGAAACTTGTGTGCTATGTACATATGGACTTAATTAAAATTACTATAAACAATAAAATAAAATAGTCTATTGATAACATATATACATTATGTACACTGGCCTTCAAGTTGTGGTTTAATAAGTTGGTGTGGATCCTTCAAATGTTTGAACCGGGATTCCAGGGTTTCAGACATACCTAATGCTGCCGGTAGTGAATTCCAGTCAGCGATGGTGTTTGGATATAAAGAATATTTATAGAAGTCTTTATTAGTTGCAACTTGCCGAAATTTATGTTGCCCCGTAGTACGTCTGTCATACAAGTGAGAGGTTTAGCTAGCTATAAAACCAGGTTTATTCCAATATTTTCTACATAAGGAAATGCCTGTACCAAGTCAGGAATATGACAGCTATTTTCCATTCGTTTGATGTGTTTGAGTTTTTGATTTTGCCATTTGATAAGGACTATCCGTTTTGAATTTTCTTTGAAGATCATTGAAGTTCGGTATTTTTTGTTATTTTACTTTTTATCAAATCTATTAACTTACCAGACCAGAACATTCTTATTTAGTGTCATAACCTGATTAAAATTGTTCCATGAGTTTCGAAGATAAAGATTTAAAAAACAAATTTAAAGTTCATTATACCTGTCCGCTAGCTAATTTCGGTCATTTTGGCTCAAATCGAAATGGTGATAAAATTGGTAATTAGAGAAACCCGTTTACGGAAACGGAACACACATTTGCTTCTGCGCATCGCCCGATCGCCATTTGTCAGAGGATTGCAGACGAAATACTGATTTCTTACAAAAAATGTAGCATTTTGATGCTTTCAGATTAATGTCTGCGGCTTTGGCTATGTTCAGAACCAAAACAACTCATGGGGATATTAAAAAATCAGCACAGAAAGTTTCTGATCACAAGAAAGACAGTATTACCAGGCTGAAACACCTTCGGCTTGTGATAGGTGCGGAAATAATATTAAACCCTTGAATCCGTGATTGTTATCCGGCTTCTCCTGTACAAAATTATTTATAAAATGTAATGGAGATGATCTTTATTGAATTACTTCAGGGATATTTGTTCAATTGTTACACTGAAGTTTTCTGATTTTGGAAAGATTGGAACTATTGTGCCAATTTCCTCAGTGACAGTTCCCAGCCTCATCCAGCATGAATCATGATGCAACCCGGTTAGCCACAAATGTATATATGCACTGACTTGAAGTTACCACTACTTTCCATGTCAATGCCCAAATGAACTGCAAATATTTTGTGTTCTATATCTTAAGAGCAGTTTGTTTAAGACTATAAGAGAATGAAGTGTTTAGCCCAAATGGCACAAAATAAGATTGCTAGATTTATTCTACAATTACATTCTAGAAAATTTGTGTCATACATGTACATGAATATTGAAAAAGTAGGTTTTTTAGATATTGGTTATGGTAATAGAGTCAAACAACTGAGACTCAATCGGTACCTTGATTGACCGAATAACACTGTTATTATCAGAATAACACTTGTAATGACCGAATAACACTTGAAATTTTAATATTAGCACATATTGGTAACTTTTAAACATTGATTAATAAATAATAGTATATTATTAATGTATTTTATAACTTAAAAATGATTTACAGAAAGCAGGTAAGTTCATAAAGATTATTTTAAATATAGTGTGTACAGTACGGGTAGAGACTTATTATTATGGATGTCTGAATCCGTCTAGATGTCAGACTGGTCGGACAGTTGTCTCAGTGTAATTAACACCTGCTGTGATATTAACCTGTACAATATCCGAGTGGAAGATCGTAAATCAATCTGTACCAGCTTGATTAGAATTAAATTTTACCTGTACAGATATTTTAGTATTTATGGAGGATAGATAATAAATTGTAAAATATTGTTTTGTATTCAAAGAAAAAATTACAATAAAAATAATTTAATATGAATATGGGATCAACTTTTTTTTAACTTGAAAATGAAAGAAAGACGATTTTTAACAATGTACTGTAAAAATGTGTTGCCAATTGTAATAATTGTGTTTGTGCCATTAAACTATTTGTATTTGTAAACCGTAAATATTTCATTTTATTCAAAATTATAACAACCAGGACTGTTTTCAATCGAAGTTTTAATCAAAATGTTGATACATCAATCCCATAAATTATATGAGTTTTCGTTGATGGTTACAATATTTCCCCCTTTTAACGTCCTGTTCCTTTATGTTATTAATAGAAACACAATTTTAAGTATAAGGCCAACATATCATATTTATAAAGTATATAAACAAATTGAATATAGGCATTGTGAATAAACTGTTATTTTCCTTTCGATACCACGTTCCCCGTCGTAGTCTCTACGTCTATTCATACATGTCAATCATTTCTCGCAAGTAAAACAATTTGGTCAGCCAGATCATCCGTGCTTTCTATTTTGACATATATTTCCCGTTAATCTCTTTGAAACAATTGTTTTTTTTACAATATTTATAACGCCGTGATCATCTTTCGATTCCTAGTTTTTATATATAAAAAACTTTTCATATGCACGTCAATATTCTATGACCCAGCATTATTTTAAATTTTGTTTGTTAATAAATTTACATATAATGGAAATAACAGATTTGTTGACACTCGTTGTATTATAACAAAGATATTGCCTTTCTTTTTCCATGTTTGAAATTTTAATGAAAATCGTGTTTTTTATAAACATATTTTACGAATTGTGTCAATCAATACACGAAGATCAAAGTTTTACACTATTCATGATCAGCCGTCTTTACTTTTGCGTCGTATTTTTAGCCATTCTCCAGTGATCTGGAAGGATTTTTTCTCTATGGGCCCAGGGCCCCCCAAAAATAAATTCAATGGGCCATGTTGTCAAATGAGTGGGCCATTCGTTAACAATAAAAAAAATTTAAAAAAGTGTATATTTCACTGTACTTACAAGTATGATTCTAATTAATATCATGGAAATTGTTCCTGTGATTTTGTTATTTCAATTTCAATGAATATACAATAACTTCTTCCAAACCGGGCAATATTTACGATAACCTTTATTTACAATGTTAAAACTGGTACTGTTCCCTTGTTCATGTTCATGTTTTTTTTTCCATTAAATTTGGGTCTTCGTCGATACCATACTTATTCCAGACGTTCCGTATTAGAGGACGTTTCTGGCATTTCCTCTGCACTTGTATTATTATTACTTCATCACGATGACAAGAATAACAGTAGAGAGCAATGTTAATTGATAAGACACGACAACAATTTGCTGAAGGCATGTTTAATGTCAAAACGAGTCAAAGAACAAAAAAATTGACAAGGACAGTAAAGCCCCTTTTATGGAGACAAATACTATGCTATTCATAAAAAGGCTTTTGGATTTTTCAATCGAAATAATAGCAAGCTTACTTAAAAGATTATAATTAAAGAAGAATTCTCGACTGTACTAGCCAATTTTCACAAATTTAAAGTTGTTTATAAAAAATTATATCATGAATGATAGTTAATTACGTTTTTGGGGTAATCAGTCATACCGCATGTTGCTATTATTACCATAGGAAAACACCCGAGACGTCCCAAAAATATATACGTGCTCCTATCATTGGAGTTGTGTACTCACACATGGCGGCACGAAATACGATCGGAAATCCATTTGACGATATCTCAACGTTTCAAAACGAAGTGAAAAATATCATGCGCCACGCGGGCGCTTACATTTGTCACTCTATGCGCCATTTCTGGTCGATAAGCGCAATTGGCGCAAGGCGCACGTCCTTCATGATCACTGATTCTCTAAAGCTCGTGCAGTCAGTAAGATTTTGTAAATCGATGTCGGCAGTTTAAATTGTATAATTCCCAAACTTTAAAGGAGGTATCCAAATAAATTATTTAAATAGGAATCTGGGTGTTGACTGATAAATATAATAAATAAAATAGTTGAAGAAGACTAAAGCTTGTTTTGTTTATAATTACAAGGATTAAATTTTCTATTCTGGTAAATCAATTATTAATGGATCTCGATCAAGAGCCTCAAAACTAACACACAATACTGCCAATCATTACGTATCAAATTAAATCATGAATAGATTTTCCCACGGTCGGTCAGTAAGGTCACCTGTGTTAACTGTTACGATATTTCCCGCCATATGAAAATCACGTGCATTTGACAAAATTAATCCCAGCTATTTTTAGCATTCAACATTGTATTGTGAGTGAAGTCAAGTTCAAAGTTCAACCACATGCTGTTGATCACTAATATGTGTATCATGGAATTGTCTTTTCACGGCAAATATTTTTTTTAGATTGGTGTCAAAAATACAACATACAAGTTAACATGCATTGTGCGTAAATTAATATTATGCAATTAAGAGTCAATGCAGCACCATAGAATTATTTAAATAGGAGTAATTGCATTTCTTTAGACTACAAATCATAGTAAATATTTAATTAACTGGTCATCAAACGATTGAATGCTTCTAGTTTAATGTCCATTCATGTCAGTGGCAATTATTTCATGCATATTTAACAAACACAGAAATATCAAAATAAACCTAATTCCTGAGAAGAATCGTTATCTTCTTCTAGTGTTATTATTTGCGTACTACTTTAGTTATATATCACCAACTTTCGGACAATATTTGTTTACAGTAAAAAGTAAATTCACAATTATAAAGAATCACCAAACTACTAGTATACAAGTATTGCTCACTGTAATTATTTTTATTTCAGAACTGACCCAACGCAGACTGAAAATTAAATACAAATGTAGTGTTGTCAAACTAAAACTTATGCAGCAGCACTTTGCACATCATTCTTCTAATCAATGGGTTTACGTGGAAAATAAATCAGAAAAACAAAAATAACCTTCCAGAAATAAAAAAGAAAATATTTTAAAAACTGTATGCCAACAAATACGAAAAAGATACATAACCATGATAACAAAAAAAAACAAGGGAACATAGAAAATAATATTTTGAGGAATATAAACAGCATTTGAAATATAAAAAGCCATAATTAAAAAATAGGCTATTTTTATTAAAACAAAGTTGTCTCCAGTACTTCACCTGTAAAAATATTTTATGTCAAATACGATGTAGAACTAATCAATACAGTGACTGAGAGGTTTAAATCACAGGTACATGTAACCTGATTCTGAAATCAGTGAAGCATTATAATCTAGTAGCACGGATTGAGATGAAAGGACAATTATATTACCGTTCACACCTGGATCTGTCGATTAATGACCATTCTGCCCACCATAAAAAAGTCGGATTATTCATTTCCGACATGTCCCAGTCCGTTATTTATAGTAATAAGTCTCTACCCGTACTGTACATCCAACATGGCGACCAAGGAAATCATAATGGTCGCCATGTTGGATGTACACACTAAATTTAAAAGTGTTATTCAGTCATTCATGTTACCCAGACTCAATCATGTCTTCAATATTTTTACCAATACATGCCCAAATTATTCACATACTAATTTTGTTAGAAATGAAACATCTTTTAACACGAGATCTAGTAATATAAATTTTTATAAACTTGGAATTAAAGGGTATGAATCTACCACTTTTTATACGACCGCAAAAAAATATGACGTTGGCGTCATTGTCGTTTCCGGCGTCGTCGTCCGAAGACACATTGGTTTTAGCACTCTAACTTTAGTTTAAGTGAATGGATCTCTATGAAATTTTACCATAAGGTTCAATACCACAAAAGGAAGGTTGGGATTGATTTTGGGGGTTATGGTACCAACAGTTAAGGAATTAGGGGCCAAAAAGAGGCCAAAAACAAGCATTTATGTAACTTCCAGACATAACTTGTGTGTTAGTGTATGGATATCTCTGACATTGTACCACAAGGTTCAATATCACAAAGGGAATGCTGGGATTGATTTTGGGGGTAAGGCCTAAATTAATATATTGTTTGTTTCCCCAATCCCGACCCTGCCAAGCAGGT